TTACATATGTTTCTTAAAATTGAATTCTTTTGCAAAATTTTATTAAAATAGTAGATATATTAAAAATAATTAAATTAGGGAAAATTTTTGAAAATAATTGAAATTGTGCCAAGAAATTTATTAAATTTTTTGAAAATAATTCAATTTTAGAGAAGAATTTTATTATTTATAAAGATAATTGATAATTTACGCAAAGAATTGCATTAAAAATTTTGAATGCAATAATTTTATTCTTTAAAGAAATTCAATTAAAAATTTATTAAAAGTAATATTTAAATTCTAATAAATAAATTGTAGCAAAGGTTATTAAAATAATTTAATTTCTTTGATAAATTTTAATAAAATTTTTAAGAATAATTACATTTTTCGAGGAATTCGATTAAAATTGTATTAAAAATAATTGAAATTCTGCAATTAGCTTTATTATTTATATTTATCAAAATAATTGAATTCCTAATAAGAATTTTATTATTTGCCAAAAAAATTAAATACCTGTAAAAATTTTATTATTTATGAAAATAATTGAATATTGCGAAGAAATTTATAAAAAAAAATTGTAAATACATAAATTCTTGTGAAATTTTTATTATTTTTTGAAAATAATTAAAGGTTTGTGTAGAATTTTATTAGATTTTTTTAAAAATAATTGAATGCTTTGGAAAATTTTATTAGAATATAGTATAGATATCTATTAAAAATCATTGAATTGAGGAAAAATTTTGAAAATAATTGAAATTTTTCCAAGAATTTTATTAAAATTTTTAAAAATAATTGATATTTCGAAGAAGAATTTAATTATTTGTAAAGATAATTGAAATTTTGACGAGAATTTTTAAAAAAATTTTAACATAATTGAATTTTTGCGAAGAATTTTATTACTTTTGAAAATAATTGAATTCCTTCAATCATTTGTAATTTCTCTAAAATTATCCAAATTATATCGTATAATTTACGTACTTTACGGACCTTTTTCAATCGAATTACGGACTTTACGGACCTTTTTTCAAAAAAACGGACTTTTACGGACTTCAAGCAAAGTTACGGACTTTTACGGGATTTACGGACCTAGTTCGAGCCCTGAAAATGTAATATCAAATTTAACGCATTAGAAACGAATTTCAAGTGAATTTTATAAATTTTGTTAAAATACTATTACTGCTGTTAAACTCTCTTGTTATACAAAGAAAGTTGAATCTCGCAAAAATTGTTTCAAATTTTATACTTTTATTTTAAAAATAATTTTGATTACGAAAATTTTAAATTATTCTTAAAAGTAAAAACATAATTACTCATTTTGCTTTTTAAACAAAGAATTCCGTATCTTTCGAAATTAACAAACTGCAAAAAATTATAAATTAATTAAAAAATTATAAAGTTAAACAACTTTTAATTCTAATTTTTTTGGAAAACAAATTATCTGTCGTAAAAATACTAAGTATAATTTGCATTAATTATTTAATTACAAGATGTAATATAAATAATGAAGCATCACATTAAAGAAAAATATTCTAAATTCATTTTTAGAAACAAAGAAAAAAATCTTCAGGTAAATTGTAGGCATATGATAGCCCCCAAATTTTAATAATTCTATACATTGATTGTTTAATTAAGTTTTTAACTTTATAATTATCATTTACTCGGCAGGTATGTGTCCATAATTTAATTTTAACATTATTTAAATATTGAGAATAGATATTTGATGTAAATATAGATTTTCATTGATTTGTTGAATTTTCTATGCATCACGTATTAATTAAAAACATTAAAAGTAAGACACGTTAAAAGTTTATAGAATAAACATTATATTAGACAATATTTTTATGTAGGTAATAAAAATTGTATTAAATTACTATTTTGTAAAATATATTTTAATAATTTAAATTTATGTTGTAGTCTTTAATAATATAGTAATTATTTCAAATAATAATTATATCTGTCAAAAATTATGAAAAAAATATTATATTTTTAACAATTACATTATTTAGAATTTTGCAAGTTAAAAAATTATTAAAAAGTTAAAAAACTAAATATTCTGTAATTAAGAAATTTAAAAAAATATAATTCAATTGAATGTAAATTATATAAAATAACTTTTTTCAATAATATCGAAATAATGTTAGCATTAAATTATTGAAAAGTATTTACCTTTAGAGCGAAATATGGTTGTAAAGTTAAAAATTGAATTAAACACAATAACAGTGCTGCTAGATGATTAAAACGACAAATCTTCAAACTTTTTTTATTTACCTTCAGAAATCTTTAAATTAGTCAAAAAACTTTCTTCAGATTTTGGTTATAATTTTTTCTAAAATATGATAAATGAAATTAAATTTCACAAAGAATTATAAAGAAATAAATTAATATTGCTGTGTTTGAATCTGTTCGCAATTTGAAAGTAATTTTGTTTGCTTCTCAACTTTTTAAATAAATTTTTGTTTTCAATGTTTTTAATTTAAAAAATAAATGCACTGAAAATTACTAAATTTTTGCAAAGTTGTTATCGAAAAATTTGAAAATAATTAGTCATTTAATTTTTATAAAAATCTTTTTAAAATAATTGAATTCTTTTGAGAAAATTTAATTAAAATTGTATTCAAAATAATATTGAATTCTCGCAAAAAATATTATTATTTTTTATAAAAGGAATCAAATTCTTCCAAAAAATGTTATTAAAATTATTGAAAATTATTGAAAATAGGTAATTGAATTCCTGCGATGAATTTTACTTAATTAAAATAACTTAATTATTATTATTAAAAATTTTTTTAAATAATTTAATTCTTGCGAAAACTGTTATTGAGATTTTTGAAAATAATAAACAAGAATAGTTAATTATGTAGTTAATAGGTGAATTTTTAAAATTTTGAATCTGAAATTATTCAAAAATTAATGTTTAGGTATATTTGAAAATATAATATTTTTTAATTTGCAAAATAATAAATGGAACAGTAACAATTAGTATAGTAATTAATAATTATTACATTTATTATTATAATCATAATGATTTAAAGAATAAAAATTATAATTTATCTTTAAAAATGGTTTACTTATATTATTTAAATGTTTATAAATATTTTCATATTATTACTTGATATATAATCAGCCTTCGCGAAATTTTCAACAAATCTTCAAGTTTTGACAATAATTTTTCAAATTCTTCAAATGTCACAGATTCCTTTAATTTTCTTCAGATTTAAAGAAAAATCTTCCAATCTGGCAGCACTGCACAATAATATAGAACACAAACATTGAAAACTTTGACATTAAAAAATCTAAAAAATGACAATACTTAACCCACAAAATTTAATTTTCAAAACAAACAAATGAATGCAGATAATTTGCTAACGGAAAGGAAACTTACGATTATTATAATGTATTAAATTAAATGTTCTTGTAGAATTGTATTAAAAACCTTTTTTTTTCAATAATTGAATTATATTTGATAAATTCTATGAAAATAGTAAATATTGAAAATATTTGAAAGCAATTGAAATTTTGATAATTTTTGAACATTTAATTAATTAAATTTTCCGCAAAAAATTTTGCTCTTTGCACTGAAAGAATTTTGTGCCTCAGGGGCAGCTGCTTTCCTTTCGGAAGTAGATGCTCGCTTTTTTTAGGTGAACTGCGAGCTTCAGCGGTACTCATGCAAAGCCTGCAGCCTTCCCAACATTTTTTCAGTGTGCAAAGATAATTAAATTGTTGACAATATATTCATCAACAAACGATATAAACAAGTACTTTTATTAAAATTCTTGAAAATAATTGAGTTTTGTGAAACAATTTCTATTTATATCTATTTTTAAAAGAATTAATATTTTATATTTTAATTCTATTTTAATAATTGATATAGAAAATATTTATTTTTAAATATTAATTTTGGAAAATAACATAAATACCTACTAAATTTTTCATTAAAAAATTATTAATTTCTTCTTTTTAAGTTATTTTACGTAATATTTCAAATAATTCAAGTACTAGAAATAACAATAATTACTAATTAAATAAAATTACAAAGAAAATTAAATTTCTCAACAAAAAAATAATTAAAATTTCATTTTTGAAAATTAATTTAATAATTTTAATAATTTAATTTATTGCCAAATACATTAATTTAAAAATTTATTAAATTATAAAAATAAAAAAAACACTAAATTTTTAAATAAAAAATGTTTAAATTTTTGTCAAATATTAATAATTATTACAATTAAAGAAAGTCATTTTTTAATAGAAAACAGCAGCAAAAAAATGGCAAAAAAAGCCAAAGTAATTTAAGATTAACCCTAAGTAATAATAATTAAAAAAATAAATTTTTTACATACAAATTACACACACTTTGCAAAAAACACCATTGACTTAAAAATATTAGAGAAAACAAAGAAAAAATACAAGTTAATATGAAAAATTGAGAGAAAACTTTCGTATAGATTAAATTCATGAGAATGTGAAACGTGTAACAAAGAAAATATTACATTTCACTTCACATATTTTTTTTGAAATTTTATTTAATTTTTTAATTTTAATTTTTTTTAATTTTATTTAAAAATTTTAAAGAATTCAAAGAAAGAAAAAAACCCCACTAGTTAAAATGGAAAATTGAGAGAAAAATAGAAATAATTTTTGTCATTTTCTTTTATTAAAAAAATTTTTTTGTCATCTTTCTGAAAAATAAACAAATTTTTAATTTTCTTTTAGAAAAAGAAACTTTTTTAATTTTCGGATAGAAAAAAAGAGAAATAAATCTTTGTTCCTTGATAAATTAAAAAAATTTAACGAAATTTCAAAAATTAATAAAAAATAAAAAAAATTAGATACAAACAAAAAGTTTAAAAAGATAAAAATAAACTCAAAAAAATAATTTTTATTTGTTTTGTTTGTTTTTTTTGAATAGAAATTTTTGTTTTATTCTTGTAGAAAAATAAAAACATTTTTTAAAATTTTCTTTTAGAAAAATAGAAATAATCTTTTGATAAAAAAGAAAATAGAAAATTTTCACTCACGTGAATATTCTTACGGGTCACAAGAATCACAAGTGTAGATAATTCTTGACCTATAAAAAGGAAAACAGATTAGTACATCAATAATAAATAATAAATAAATATAAAAACATATATACGTATATACATAATAATAATTTGCTATTCCGTGAACAGAAAGTGTCGTCCTTTTTTCTATAATAATTAATGTTTTGATAGATAATTTTGGTTAGGAGTATTCCCATATGTGTGATTAGCACTTGACGTAAAGAAATTTTTTATATTTTTTACATACAAATTACACACACTTTGCAAAAAACACCATTGATTTAAAAATTTTAGAGACCATTAGAAGCAAAAAATTGTAGGTTATGGTTTTAATTTTTGAAATGAAAATACAAAAAAGGGATCAACTGTCAATATAAATAATTTATATTAAAGTCTTTATTCCAACTGAAATATTTAATAAACACTGATTTTAATTTGCAATAAGTAAAAAAAAACTTTTAATCACCAAAAAAGTAACACTAACATAACCTTAAAATGATTTCCTTTAAAGATCTCTTTATTTAGATAGCGTCAAAAATTGAAATAATTTTTGTTATTTTCTTTAAATAAAAAAAATTTGTTCTCATCTTTCAGAAGAATAAACAGATTTTTAATTTTCTTTTAGAAAAAGAAACATTTTTTATATTCGGATAGGAACAAAAAGAGAAATATACTTTTGTTCCTTGTTCCGGAATCATGCCCATCGCGCAACCATCGCTGCTCTATTAATTCGACATTATCTCGTCGAAATAACACTAATGCAATTACTTTATCACAGATATCTTTGACAATTCTCGCGCGAATCACAATAAAAATGATAGTCTTCGCCTCTTCACTGATAATCTCTCAAGTGACTCACGTGAATATTATTTCGGGTCACAAGAATCACAATTGTAGGTATTCCTCGTCCTAAAAAAGGAAAATCTATTAGTAAATCCAAAATACATAATAGTAAATATTATAAATTTTGTAAAAAAAATTAATTTCACAATTTTAGATAATTTGAAGAAAAAAAACCGCACTACTTAAAATGAAAAATTAAGAGAAAATTTTTGTATGGATTAAATTCATGAGAACGCGGACCGTGCAACAAAAAATATTACACTTCACTTCACAAATTTTTTTTTTGAAAAAAAGTTTAATAAATTAATATCCAAGATAGCCAAAAAATAGACAGAATACAAGATTGAAAATTAATTCAATGAAGACTGAGATTACGCTGGAAACTCCGAAGAGCGAACGGCTAGAGCCTTATCCCGATCTTGGGAGTTAGTCCTTGAACGGCCGGGAGAGGTTAGATTTTATAAACACGCAGGGCCGTACGCGTATTTTTGTGCCTTTTAATATTTTCCAAAGCGTGACGCACACGGGACACGAACATCACGCACCACTTTAACTATACGCTCTTGCTTGTAGATTTCAGTGTCTGAACCCGCCCATTTTTCTTCCTCCGCCTGATTACCGTGCCTCTCCCCTTTATTCGGAATACCTCTCTTCGGAGTTTCCAGTGTAATACCTGTGGAATAATTTTTTCCTTTTCAAATAAATTTATAATCACTTTTTTCTGATAATTACTTCTAATTTTTTTTAATCGTTTATTTATTTGTAAAAAAAAAGATTAAAGAGAAAATTTGATGAAACACTTTATTTGACGGGTCATCGTCAAAATGGCGCTAATGTATGTAAAAGTTTGTTAGACGCTTTGGGGGGGAGGAGGTTGCTCTAAAATGGTTGAAAAAGCTAACGTAATTTACATATTATCCCGACAAAAATTTTCCACTTAAAAATTACACACACTTTCCAAAAAACACCCTTGATTTCACAATTTTAGAAAATTCGAAGAAAAAAACCGCACTAGTCAAAATTCAAAATTGAGAAAACTTTTATATAGATATAGAACAAAGAAAAAATTACACTTCACTTTATTTTTTTTTTAGAAAAATAGAAATAATTTTTGTTATTTTCTTTATAAAAAAGAGAAAAAAACAAAAAAAATTTTTATTTTATTTTTACAACAAATTAAAAATAATTTTTGTTATTTTCTTTAAATAAAAAAATTTATTTTGACATCTTTCAGAAGAATAAACAAATTTTTAGTTTTCTTTTAGAAAAAGATACATTTTTTATTTTCGGATAGGAAAAAAAGAGAAATAAACCTTTGTTTCTTGTTCTGGAATCATGCCATCGCGCAACCATCGCTGCTGTATTGGTTCGACATATCCTCGTCGAAATAACCCTAATGGCGTTACTTTATTCCAAAAATGTGTTTGACAATTATCGCGCGAATCACGATAATAATAGACAGAATACAAGAGGCTCGGTGAAAATAGCGACCCGCCGGCCGCCAGCCATCAGAAGAATCCATAGGCGCCGACACACATAGTAGCGCGGTGGTCCTATACGGTTCAATAAACGCAAAAACAACGTACGCTAGCTATTACAGTTTATAGAAAAAATTGCAATAGTCACATATTAAGGAACAATAATCCCTTTTTAATTTGCTACCAAGAAATAAAAATTTGATCTAAAATTGTTCGAGTTATGAATTTTTTTTGACCTTTTTTCCAAATTTTCGTTTTTCTGATACGGGCGGGTGGGGACGCTGGCTATAAAAAATTGTTTTAAAAAATTCCTATTGGTCCAATGAAAAGAAGCATTAACCCTTCTTTAATTTGCGACCAAGAAATAAACGTTTGGTCTAAAATTGTTCGAGTTATGAATTGTTTTTGAACTTTTTTTCCAAATTTTCGTTTTTCTGATACGGGCGGGTGGGGACGCTGGCTATCAAAAATTGTTTTAAAAAATTCCTATTGGTCCAATGAAAAGAAGCATTAATCCCTCTTTAATTTGCGACCAAGAAATAAACATTTGGCCTAAAATTATTCGAGGTATGAATTTTTTTTGAACTTTTTTTCCAAATTTTCGTTTTTCTGATACGGGCGGGTGGGGACGCTGGCTATCAAAAATTGTTTTAAAAAATTCCTATTGGTCCAATAGAAAGAAGCATTAATCCCTCTTTAATTTGCGACCAAAAAATAAACATTTGGTCTAAAATTATTCGAGGTATGAATTTTTTTTGAACTTTTTTTCCAAATTTTCGTTTTTCTGATACGGGCGGGTGGGGACGCTGGCTATCAAAAATTGTTTTAAAAAATTCCTATTGGTCCAATGAAAAGAAGCATTAATCCCTCTTTAATTTGCGACCAAGAAATAAACATTTGGTCTAAAATTATTCGAGGTATGAATTGTTTTTGAACTTTTTTTCCAAATTTTCGTTTTTCTGATACGGGCGGGTGGGGACGCTGGCTATCAAAAATTGTTTTAAAAAATTCCTATTGGTCCAATGAAAAGAAGCATTAATCCCTCTTTAATTTGCGACCAAGAAATAAACGTTTGGTCTAAAATTATTCGAGGTATGAATTTTTTTTGATCTTTTTTTCCAAATTTTCGTTTTTCTGATACGGGCGGGTGGGGACGCTGGCTATCAAAAATTGTTTTAAAAAATTCCTATTGGTCCAATGAAAAGAAGCATTAACCCTTCTTTAATTTGCGACCAAGAAATAAACGTTTGGTCTAAAATTGTTCGAGTTATGAATTTTTTTTGAACTTTTTTTCCAAATTTTTGTTTTTCTGATACGGGCGGGCGGGGACGCTGGCTATCAAAAATTGTTTTAAAAAATTCCTATTGGTCCAATGAAAAGAAGCATTAATCCCTCTTTAATTTGCGACCAAGAAATAAACATTTGGTCTAAAATTATTCGAGGTATGAATTTTTTTTGAACTTTTTTTCCAAATTTTCGTTTTTCTGATACGGGCGGGTGGGGACGCTGGCTATCAAAAATTGTTTTAAAAAATTCCTATTGGTCCAATGGAAAGAAGCATTAATCCCTCTTTAATTTGCGACCAAGAAATAAACGTTTGGTCTAAAATTGTTCGAGTTATGAATTTTTTTTGAACTTTTTTTCCAAATTTTCGTTTTTCTGATACGGGCGGGTGGGGACGCTGGCTATCAAAAATTGTTTTAAAAAATTCCTATTGGTCCAATGAGAAGAAGCATTAACCCTTCTTTAATTTGCGACCAAGAAATAAACGTTTGTTTTAAAATTGTTCGAGTTATGAATTTTTTTTGAACTTTTTTTCCAAATTTTCGTTTTTCTGATACGGGCGGGTGGGGACGCTGGCTATCAAAAATTGTTTTAAAAAATTCCTATTGGTCCAATGAAAAGAAGCATTAACCCTTCTTTAATTTGCGACCAAGAAATAAACGTTTGGTCTAAAATTGTTCGAGTTATGACTTTTTTTTGAACTTTTTTTCCAAATTTTCGTTTTTCTGATACGGGCGGGTGGGGACGCTGGCTATCAAAAATTGTTTTAAAAAATTCCTATTGGTCCAATGAAAAGAAGCATTAACCCTTCTTTAATTTGCGACCAAGAAATAAACATTTGGTCTAAAATTATTCGAGGTATGAATTGTTTTTGAACTTTTTTTCCAAATTTTCGTTTTTCTGATACGGGCGGGTGGGGACGCTGGCTATCAAAAATTGTTTTAAAAAATTCCTATTGGTGCAATGAAAAGAAGCATTAATCCCTCTTTAATTTGCGACCAAGAAATAAACATTTGGTCTAAAATTATTCGAGGTATAAATTTTTTTTGAACTTTTTTTCCAAATTTTCGTTTTTCTGATACGAGCGGGTGGGGACGCTGGCTATCAAAAATTGTTTTAAAAAATTCCTATTGGTCCAATGGAAAGAAGCATTAATCCCTCTTTAATTTGCGACCAAAAAATAAACATTTGGTCTAAAATTATTCGAGGTATGAATTTTTTTTGAACTTTTTTTCCAAATTTTCGTTTTTCTGATACGGGCGGGTGGGGACGCTGGCTATCAAAAATTGTTTTAAAAAATTCCAATTGGTCCAATGAAAAGAAGCATTAACCCTTCTTTAATTTGCGACCAAGAAATAAACGTTTGGTCTAAAATTGTTCGAGTTATGAATTTTTTTTGAACTATTTTTCCAAATTTTCGTTTTTCTGATACGGGCGGGTGGGGACGCTGGCTATCAAAAATTGTTTTAAAAAATTCCTATTGGTCCAATGAAAAGAAGCATTAACCCTTCTTTAATTTGCGACCAAGAAATAAACGTTTGGTCTAAAATTGTTCGAGTTATGACTTTTTTTTGAACTTTTTTTCCAAATTTTCGTTTTTCTGATACGGGCGGGTGGGGACGCTGGCTATCAAAAATTGTTTTAAAAAATTCCTATTGGTCCAATGAAAAGAAGCATTAACCCTTCTTTAATTTGCGACCAAGAAATAAACGTTTGGTCTAAAATTATTCGAGGTATGAATTTTTTTTGAACTTTTTTCCAAATTTTCGTTTTTCTGATACGGGCGGGTGGGGACGCTGGCTATCAAAAATTGTTTTAAAAAATTCCTATTGGTCCAATGAAAAGAAGCATTAATCCCTCTTTAATTTGCGACCAAGAAATAAACATTTGGTCTAAAATTATTCGAGGTATGAATTTTTTTTGAACTTTTTTCCAAATTTTCGTTTTTCTGATACGGGCGGGTGGGGACGCTGGCTATCAAAAATTGTTTTAAAAAATTCCTATTGGTCCAATGAAAAGAAGCATTAATCCCTCTTTAATTTGCGACCAAGAAATAAACGTTTGGTCTAAAATTGTTCGAGTTATGAATTTTTTTTTCGATTTTTTTTCCAATTTTCATTTTTTTGTGTAAAGGGTGATTATTGCTTCTTAAAATGTGACAATTGAAAATTTTTTAAATAAATTTATGATAGACAACGTTCCCACAACGTTCGTCACAAATTAAAGGGGGATTATTGCTCTTTAATAAAATGTGACTATTGCAATTTTTTTCTATAAACTGTATTAGCTAGCGTACGTTGTTTTTGCGTTGATTGAACCGTATTGGGCCACCGCGCTACTATGTGTGTCGGCGCCTATGAATTCTTCTGATGGCTGGCGGCCGGCGGGTCGCTAGTTTCACCGAGCCAATACAAGATTTAAAAATAATTCAATAAAAACGGAGATTAACACGTGTGAAATAATTTCTTTTTAAATAAATTTATATTTTCTTTGTTTAAATAACGATAATTTATTTTTATTTTTGAATATTTATTTATTCATTTTTAGCAATTACTTTCATTTTTTTTTAATTGTTTATTTATTTTTGAAAAAAGATTAAAGAGAAAACTGGGTGAAACACTCATTTGACGAGTCATCGTCAAAATGGCGCTAATCTATGTAAAAGTTTGTTACACGCTTGGGGGGGGGGGTAGATTGCTATAAAATGGCTAAAAAAGCTAACGTAATTTAAGTATTATCCCTAAAAAAAATTTCCACTTGCAAATTACACATACTTTGCAAAAAACACCATTGATTTCACAATTTTAGAGAATACTAAGAAAAAACACTAGTTAATATGAAAAAGTGAGAGATAACATATAGATTAAATTCATGAGAACGCGGACCGTGCAACAAAGAAAATATTACGCCACTTCATTTTTTTTTTTTGAAATTTTATTTTCGAAAAAAAAATTTAATAAAAAAATTAATTAATTTAGTTTTAACACTTACTTCTATTGTTTCAAATCGTTTATTTATTTGAAAAAAACGAAAAAATATTCTTTACATTATTTCACATATTTTAAAAAAACATTTTAAAAAATTAATTGGAAGAATTCAATTATCTTCATAAATTAATAACAATCTTCCCAGGATTTCAATTATTTTTAATACAATTTCAAGTAAATTCTTAGAAAGAATTCAATTATCAATTATTTATTTTTAAAAATTCATGCTATATTGCTTTTAATATTTAATTATTATCTAAAATTTTAATTAATATTTATTTTTAAATCAATTTTTAATTGAAAATTCTACGAGCATTCAATTATTCAAAAATTAAAATAAATAATTTATTGAATAAATGAATGTTTCTTGAAACTAAATTATCATAAAAAATTTTATTAACAAATTTAAATTTTTTCGAGAAATTTTAATAAAATTTTTAAGCATAATTAAATTTTTCGAGGAATTCAACTAAACTTGTATGGAAAATAATTTAAATTCTATGATGAACCTTATTATTCATAAAAACAATTGAATTTTTGTAAAAAATGTTATTATTTATGAAAATAATTCAATTATTGCAAAGTTTGCTCAGAATTTTATCAA